AAATACTCATTACACATTTGAGTAAATGATCTCAAGTGAGTAAGCTATGAACACATATTGATTTTTATCATTTAAACTTCCAATATAACATATATTCTAAAACGTCAGTGAGATAATTCAAATTGTAAAACTATAGCCCTATTGTAGTGGGAGATTCCTACTCAAAAGGCACTTTAATGTCCATGCTTGGTGACACAGGGCAGGAATGAAGCCTGTCTTACTTGCCACAATCTCCCCAGCACCAAGTAGATAAATGGCAGGGACTTAGTAAAATATTCCCTAAATAAAATACAATCAGTTAAACATGTGATGAAAGAACAAGGGGGCATACCATCCTCTGGTTTGGTCGATGCCCTCAGCAATGAAGTCTGCAGGAAAAGCATCCTCAAACTCCCTCTTGTTTTCAAATGGATAATGAACCTGAGCATAGGGCATGCTGCCACTCTCAAACCAACAGTCAAACACTTCAGAGATGCGGTGCAAGGATCCCTTCCCACAGCGTGAAGGAATGGTCAGGTGGTCAATGCTGACAAACAGAAAAGTAGCCATTTCTATTAAATATAAGCATAACAGTCCTTGAAGTTTAACTGCAAATAGGAAACTCTGACAAGATATAATACACATTTGCAAACAGAAACATCAACAATTCTCAAAGGCTTTCTGAGAGCACCATGAATCCCTCCATCTGAAAGGTTATGCACCTTTCACCTCACATTTCACAAGGACAGAGGCCACAATACCACAATATGACATGAGTCATCAACAAAGTACTTCAGCAAACTAGTCACTTCCATGTATAGCTCTGCAATCAGCTAAAGACCAGGTCTTAATAGGAGAATGATAAAACTGAAGTGAATCAAACATTTGGAAACTGACCTCTCTCTGTGGAGATCTGTGATCTTTGCTCCCGAGAGTTCTTCAAGTTCTGCCACTGACCCAATGCATACTACCTGCCAAAAACAAAGTTCAATAGCAGGAGCTCCTTAGAGCCAAGCAGAGCAAATACTGAGTTCATTTACATAGTATGCATGTTTAGTTTGAGAGAGAGACTGATGATTTTCTCTTTCCTTTTTTTTTGAGACAGGTTCTCACTCCCATTGCCCAGGCTGGAGTGCAGTGGCGCAATCACAGCTCACTGCAGCCTCAGCTTCCTGGGCTCAGGTGATCCTCTCACCTCAGCTCTCAAATAGCTGGGACTATAGGCAGGCACCACCCAGCCCAGCTATTTTTTTTGTATTTTTAGTAGAGAGAGGGTTTCACCATGATGCCCTCGTCTCAAGCTCTTGGACTTGAGTCATCAGCCAGCCTTGGCCTCCCAAGTGTTGGGATTACAGGTGTTGCGCTGGGCCTGAGACTGATGATTTTCTTTAAAGGCACATTAAGCACATTAACACACCAATCTGGGCTGAAGCGTAGTATTCGCTAATGTGGCTTCTCTCTCATGAAAGACACAGCTTAGTCTCTGAAGAGGCCAGTGTTGACACTGCTCCTTTGTTTCCATGCCAATACCAGAGGGAGTCCCTACCTAGAGAAAATCTTAAACATTCATAGCCATACTCTCAACGGGCATTAAGCCTTTATTAAGTGCAGATCATCAAAGTAACCGGCATAAGTGAAGCATCTTAGATTATTGCTCTAAGCCATCTCAGTTTCTTCCTGGCACCTGAATCTAGCTCATTAATCTAGAATCTTTCCAAGAAAAAGCTAGAATTAAATTATAGTCATACATTGCTTAAGGATAAGAATACATTCTGAGAAATGTGTTGTTAGGGTGATTTCATTACACAAACATCACAGAACAACTTAGGCAAACCTAGATGGGATGGCCTAAAACATACCTAGGCTATATGGTGGAGCCTATTACTTCTAGGCTACAAATTTGTACAGCATGTGACAGTACAGAATTCTGCAGGCAACTATAACACAATGGCCTGCCCCCACCCCACCTTCCCCGCTTCTTCTCTTGCCATGTGATCTCTGCATACTCTGGCTCCTGTCCAGCCTTCCATCATAAGTGGATGCAGCCTGAGGTCCTCCTCAGATGCACATGTCTAGTTTTAAGCTTTCCAGTCATCCAGAATCGTAAGTCAAATAAACTATTCTTCTTTATAAATTACCCAGCTTCATGTATTCCTTTGTAGCAACACTAAAAGACTAAAACAGCAAGTATTTGAGTTTCCTTTTCATTTTTTAAAAAATTCAAGTATTTGAGTTTCTAAACATTATGAAACACAGAAAAGAAACAGTAACAATATGGTATTGTAACCTTGTGAGACCACAGCGAGGGATGAGGCTAGCTGGGGCACTCAGAATGGAGGGATCATCTGACAAGGGCCACAACAACAGTAGGAGCTGCTGTGGGTTCTCATCCAAGGAGCTTCTGCTCCTAGTGAACACTGGTACCCTCTTTCTCTGCCTTTCCTACTCAGTCTTGAAAAGTCTTCTGATTCAGCTACTTCACTGTTGCCTTTCAGGTCGCTATGGGAGATTCACCAAGGTCCCTAGGGTGCCACTGCTCGTCATTGCTACAATGCTGTCAGCATTGGACAGAAGGCCACACAGAGATCTATCTGTATAGTAAGTTCTCACCTGACATCATTGAGCGGTCCCAGTAGCAAGGTCTAACTGGCGTGTACCACCATGCCTGGCTAATTTAATAAACGGTTTTGTAGAGATGGTACCCCACTATGTTGTCTAGGCTGGTGTCAAATTTCTGGCCTCAAGTGATTCTCCTGCCTTGGCCTCCCTAAGTGCTGAGATTACATGTGTGAGCCATCCCACCTGGCCTAAAGTCACAGTTATTAAGAACTTCTGTTTAGCTGGGCATGGTGGCGCGTGCCTGTAATCCCAGCTACTCAGGAGGCTGAGGCAGGAGAATTGCCTGAACCCAGGAGGCGGAGGTTGCGGTGAGCTGAGATCGTGCCATTGCACTCCGGCCTGGGTAACAAGAGCGAAACTACGTCTCCAAAAAAAAAAAAAAAAAAAAAAAAAAGAACTTCTGTATGACATTAAGCGAGGACATAGTATATATGCATACATCTATATATCTACACACACCCTCTCACTCACTTGATTCTAGAAGTTAAAGGTCTGCAATGCTTTGATAAATTTCTTTTCAAGTTTTCATTTTTCATTATCTGTAAAGTCAGTTTAACCACAAGCTAATGATACAATTTAATGCAGGGGGAAGAAAAGACATCAGAGAAACACAAGAAAAAACATTTGAAGTGTGGATTTCCCTCAGAAAACTGTATCCTTTTCTTTTTTACAGAGGGAATTCTATAAATTGTATTTAATTCAAGGAAAAAAGAAGTTAAAAACCCTAAAAACAGATTATTTTATGTCATGATTCTAGGAAGGAATAGAGGAAAAAAGATGAAATAAAAAAGTGGCAAAGAAAAAAGAAACCCAATTCCTTTTCATGAACAAAATGCTTTAGCAAAAATTAACACAAGGGAATACTGCCCTGCCTCACCTCCTCAAAGTCATCGCTGACCCACAGTGGGATAGGGGTGCCCCAGTATCTGTTTCTGGAAATTGCCCAGTCACGTGCATCTTTCAGCCAATTTCCAAATCGTTTTTCTCGCACAAACTCTGGGACCCTGCAATAAACAGATCACATAAGCAGTCACATAAGAATATTAGTAATTCCAAATTGTAAATTATATCCATGTGAGCCTTCGTGTAATGCTTTGTGGAGCAAACAATCTGGAAACATGGAGCTCACTTCAAAGAGTGTGTCTTCTAAATGCACAGCATAGCACACGCAACAGTCTGTGCTGCCATCAATGACCTACATCCAATAGATAACACCACCACAGCACACAGGCCTCCCATGTCCTCCTCTTCAACTGCAGTATGGCTGCCACAAACCTCTAACCAGTCACCCTTACTCTAGCCAGCCTCATCCCATACAACTCTTTACAGTATCCTCACCACAGCAATTTTACTGAACTGCTTAAGCAAAGGCTCCAAACAGGCCAGGCGATTGGTAGCTGTTCTAGCGGCCCCCACTATAGTCTCCTCTCTGATCATCCTTGGTCTTGAATTTCATGCTCCGACAATGAGGCAAGTTCCCTAGAATCTTTCTCACTTAACTGCCTTTGCCCATGCCTGCCCTGTGCTATGCAGCCTTCCTCCCCTCTGCATCCATCCTCTTGCATCCATCCCACTCCCAATGCTCTTTATTCCTTGAGGTTCAGCTTTGCAGAAATCCTTTCCAAGCACAAGGCTCTGTCAGGGTAGGCTACCAAACCTTCCCTTCTTCTCTTGGGCACTACAGTTACTGCCCTGTACTTCAAAGATCAGTTTATATGCCTGCACCCCCTCGAGGTTATCTTATTAATATTCTATATCTAGTATCTTACACATTAGGGGAACTAATTAGCATATTGGCTCTAAAAATGAAAAGCTGTCTTTTGATAAATCAGGACCACTCTGCTAAGAAATATTAGAAAGCTAGTTTATAAGCATTTTCCTTATTGTCTTGAGATTCTCCCCATTCTCCTAAACACAAATACGGTTTTTCAATCTAGTTGGGTCCTTGTGAAATGAAGTGGTGATTACCTTTAAAACTTGTAGTGAAAAACATTCTTCTGAAATACATAGGTTCAAGCCTTGTTTCATTTTGTACCCAGAGGCTGAAATGATACCTCTTGGGTAATCACCTGCAGGACACATATCAGCTGAGGAAAATAAAGGTTTCTGTGCTTGAAGCTTATCCATAAAGCCAAGCACAGGGGACATTATTCACTACAGGACCGACAACAGTTAAGTACACATGGCATTTGCAGGTATATCTGAAAATGACTATTACTGAAGGCTAGCGAACAGCCACATTTTTTCAAAGTCATTTCATTCCATAAATCAAATAAATGTGAGTTTCTCATTTCTACTGAGTTTAAAAAGAAAAATACTCCCTTATATACTTTATAACAAGAAAGATATTACTTCTGTACTATAACATTATTTGAATTATTTTGTGTTCCTAAACACGCAGAATAAAAGATAGCTATTATAATACATAATGGAAAATGGATTTGGGGGAAGTGTAAAACACAACTACTAATGACATGACAAAAGACACTATGAAGAAATACATTTTACTGCTCACCAGTAGCACAGGTCATTGTTCCTTAGGAGCTGGTCCACCATGTTCTCTACTCGTACAAACCAGCTGGGCACTGCTTTGTAAATGAGGGGAGTGTCTGATCTAGGGAAGCAGAAACACAGACATAGCTGCTCAGGTTGGACTAGCAGGCACCAGGGTAAGACCTACTTTTCATGTTTTATTGACAGCATCATCACCTACTTGGCCTTCTGCTAATATTTATTTTTGTTACAGATAAAAGCATCTAAGTCTCCAAAATTGGTCATCTCTTTCCACAATAGTAAGAAAGGCAAAAACTAATATAAGAACAAGACCAGGAAAAAAAAATATGGTTCTGCTGGTGACAATTGTCTAAGAAACAATGTCAACTTCAACTTCAGCATGGAAGAGGCAATGTGAAAACCAAATATGATGCAACTGAACATTTCATGTTCACCAACGCCTTTATGGCATGGGCTTACATTAAACATTAAAATCACATTAAATTTTTCATTCAATTCCATTACAAAATTTTAGAGATGTTTCTCATCCTAAAAAAATGTGGCCACAACACAAAACAGATTTGTACAGGACTATTTTTCTCACATAGTTCCTTAGGAAAGTAGGACTTTTAAGGCCGGGCATGTGGCTCATGCCTGTATTTCCAGCACTTTGGGAGGCTGAGGCGGGTAGATCACGAGGTCAGGAGATTGAGGCCATC